CTTACAAATTCCTAAGATATTAGAGTACTAAAGCGGATTTCAAAAATTAGCATAAAATCCCATTGTCTGAATGTATAAAGACCATATCGTGTGTTGCTTTAAACTAAGGTTTATCTTATATCCTTCTCTTTTTACTTTTTTACTAATGCCAACCAAAGTTTTGTTTATGTTCTGAAGTAGATATATCATATGAGCATATGAATGTGGAGTTATGTCTCAGGATTAACTTCCACATTTCTTCCTAGATTTCAGAATGATTTTTCTTTCTTGAACCCAAGAACTGATTGTCACTGTCTGGCTTCCAAACTCTGTTTCACTCTGTCTACATGTACCTCTTTCCTCTGTGTCCTGTCTCATGACAGAGAATGTAGGTAATCTTTTTTCTGTTGTGCACTTAATTTCTATGAACTTTGTTCTGGGAACCTCCCTGCCTAGTTATGACTTGTGGTTTACAGAAACACCCGAGCCTGCTGAGTTTACTCCGTGGCATAACCAAGTTTTCTGATTTCACTGTGACCTTAGAGTTTTTTCTTATGGCTATAACATGGCCTGTATAATTTAATGGGATAATAAATGACAGAATAACATCATTATGAAAGATTATTAACAGAGTACGAATTTTTATCTGTTGGCAAGTTATAAAGTCATAGTGGAACATAGATGGTAATTGAAAATTCTAAAATAAATGTTTGGGAAATACTTGTACCACCCCCTGCCCCCCATCCCCTGATGTTATATCTACCCTTTCAGAGCACTTAATAATCTTCATATGTACATAGGGCAAAGTTACAGCTTTACAGGATTCTATCTTCTCTGTATTTGCTCTGTAAGATTTTCTATCCATTGTGTTTTATGAATCTGGATTTACAGGTATACGTTTCTCAGCAATATTCCCAGTATCAAGCACATTGACCCAGATTGGGACTTTCAAATGGGTTTAATTTATGCAAATTTCAGTAAAAGCATTCCTTTGATTTGGGTTAGATATGGTAGGTGACCTTACCATGAGCCATAATATGAAATTTGGCAAAATGGCTTCACCTTTATTTTCACATTAACCGCCATATCTCTTTCAGTGTGATGTGCTGTGGCGCCTTGAATGTTGCTGTAATGTTGAAAACTACACTGATTATATTCAAATATCAGCAGGGTCACTGATGGTGGTTTCATCAGAACATCCATAGTAAGACAGCCTCAAAAGAAAGGCCTCGTGATCTACTTCCAAAACTTAGCCAATGAAACCCTAATGGGTCACAATAGTGCCTTGTCTGCTAGAAGATAAGCCCTTTAGACCAGAAAGTACTCAACAAACATCGGCCCTGCAGCAGAGACCTGAGCAAACCAGTGATCATGAGGGCGGTCCAGGACAGAGGCATACAATGTTTGCTTCTGTGGTACAAGACATCACCAGGAGTTGAAGTCAAATCAATGGCAATTAACAACAACAATCACCTGACCCTAAGGATGTTTCAATGTATCAACTTTCAAGACAGTGATGTGATGTAATTATATGATACAGTTATTTGTAAACTCAATCTCTTTAGGAAGTTGTCTTAGGTGTGATGCTATAACATAAATACTGTAAGTGGATGGCTTTAACAATCAGAAAATTATTCTCTTGAAATTTAGGAGGCTAGCAGTCTGAATTCAAGGTAAGGGAAGGCTTTCTTTGTTGGCTCTGGAGAAAGGGCCTTGTCTCCTTTCAGCTTCTGTGGGTCTGGCCGCCCTCTATGTATCTTGAAATGAATCTTTCCCTGGGTCTGGAACTCCAGAAGGTGCGCATTCCAGGGGCCCGGGTCCAGAAGCTATGATCCACAGCTCTTCTGCCTTTGTGGTGGTAGGTCTCTCTAATAGCTGTTTCTTTGTTTAATCTCTTCTATCTCTCAAAGGAATTGACTCAAAATGCAACTTAATACTGAAGACTGCATCCTGCCTCATTAATATAACACCTCAAAGTGTGTTATCTCATTAGCAGCAAAGAGGCAGTGTTTATAACACATAGGATAACCACATCAGATCACAAAATTGAGGATTATTACATAATACTGAAAAACATGCCCCAGAAAACTTCACAAATATTTTGTGGGGGAATAATTTAAATCCATAACAGAGGGATCCTGAGAAATGCATAGTACATGTGCAAAAATATGAAATTTGAGACCTACTTAACACTCCTCTTAGTTATCGTTCCAAAAGATATCTTCTGAATTTGGGATATTCTGTCACCTACATGATCAATTATAAAATGTGCCATTTAATTTTATGTGTCATCATAATCAGGATGTATACAACATGTAAGGGAAGTAGCAGTTTTCTGTGGGCTTTGGAAGTGAGGGGTCTGTAGATACATGCACATGATATTTTTTCCCAAAAGGTTGAGAATTCAAGTCTATATTAATATTATACATAATTATCAATTCTCAAATTTCTACTCTATTCCTAAGGCTAGAGCCTCAGAAACACATTGTTATATTAAATTTCTCATAGGAAGATCAGAATAAGGCTGTCAAATACTCTATGAAATTTATTTTAAATTTTTGGAAGTTTCATAGAGAGCAGGTTAAAAAATTTTGATTTTGAAGTAAGAAAACCTAGATTCTAAGCTTTATTCTATCATTAATTTTCTATCCCCAAATAATTATTATGTACTATATATGTATATTTAATATAAACACAGTTATATGCATATCTATAAAATACATATGTGTATATAAAAAAACATGTCTACAGAATTTTAAAGAAGTCCCAATGTGACATCTAGGAATATGAATAACATGTTCAGTGAAAGAATGGGCTTTTTATAAATTTGAGGTTTAATTTTAAGGTAACTTATAATCTAATGATTGGACGGCAGAATAAAATAATGGTGCCAAGAAAAAAATCTGATATTATATTTAGGTGATGAGAATATATAATGTGCGTTTCTACAGATAAAATAAATTTTCTCTCTTAAGCACTTTTTTCAAACATACTTGATTTCCAGGACAGTGAAGGGTAAGAAATAATTAGCTTATAAAACAATCTCATGTTTACATTAAAAATGTAGTGCTAGTTGTCCTTCTACTTCCCTCAAGTTATATTAACAGCACAACCACCAAGAAAAACCACCCTTCTAATTATCTAGTAAAATTACTTTTCCACATGTGAACAAGCTAGTTCTTTAAAGTAAACATTTAAACTCAATGTAGAATTGAAATAACGCTTTCAAAAGTATCATCTTATATTAAAATAAAAATGAGAACATGTGCTGTAATTTAAATAATATTTAAGCACAAATGCATATCAAAGTATGTTCTCATTGTAAACTATTCTTATAGTAGTGTATACATACTCCATATTTAGCTTTTGACTAAGTTTTTGACTTGCTCACATTTGTAGTTTTTTTTCTACTGATTTCTAAAATTGCCCAACATTATGATATTAGATGTTATCACTAGACTATAGTAATGAGTGGCAACATTTGAACTTTAAGAATTTATCATCAATATGAGAAGCCTCTATGAAAGTCAAGAAACTCAAAATATGAGGTGTTGCATCGGCTATCATTATTTTGTAAAAAGCATTTATTTGAATAGTATTACTTTGTAACACAATCAGGGTTTTTTTTTTAATAAAACAATTGCTATTTGTTCTTTTTGCAGTCACTAAGCTGACTTTAAGCTGTTTGTCTTTTATAGACTTTTTTAAATGACCACCAATTTTGACTAGGCATTTTCTACATTACCTATATTGACATCTAAGCTATTATTTATCTTGTTGGTTAGCTAAATTGCAGTTTTATGTAATCTGTTGTTGATTCATTGGGATCTGTTTAGGGAATTCCCAGTGAAGACCCTGGAACCCCTTGGCAGCTCTGCTGTTCTTACCTGTACTAGTTGTGGGAGATATTCCAGGAGTTCATCATTCAAGAGGCTGTCTAATTGTTGAACTGCTGCCTTACGAATTTCTTGATCTGGAAAACTAATACAAAGAAAACATTTCTATTGAGCTGTGACTAGTATGAGGCAATGCATGATGGATATCAGGGAGATCTGAGAATGGAAACCATGTGCAATACAAGAAGTAAAAACAATAATCCTATGATCAATTAATATGTCCACCAATACCATCTTTTTCATATTCTGTAATCTCACATGGACTGAAACAAAAGCTCTTCTACTAGCCAATGTGTTACTAAAGAAGAAGATTGAAGAAGAAATTATCTTACCTCCTGATATCAAAATCTACTACAAGTGAAATCAGTAGAGTACAAGTAGAATGTCAGACACATGGACCAATGGAACAGAATTGAAAAACCAGGAGTAAATCCATTAAGCTACACACAGCTGATCTTTGACAATGGGCCAAAATTCATTAAATGGGAGGAGATAGTCTCATTTTACAAATAATGCTGGGAAAAGTGGATATCCATTTGTACAAGAGTGCAAAAGGACCAATAGCTCACACCATATTAAAAAAGAAACTTAAAATAGATCAAATACTTAAGTAAATTTAGAACTATAAACATCATCAATACGAAAAAAGAGACAAACTTAAGAGTCCTAAGATATAAACACACTATCAAGCATAAGAGAAAACACACAAATAGCAAAAGACAAGCCAATAACCAGGACCTTCTCAAAACTAAACATTTATAGGAATCAAAAGATTTCAACAAAATAGTGAAAAGAAAATTCACAGACTGGGGAAATTCTTTTGGTAGTTACATATCAGACAGGGGACTAAGATGCAAAATATATGAAAAAATTCAAGTCCGCAACAAGAAAACTAAAAATCCAATTAAAAACAGGCAGAGGACATGAACAGACACTTCTCCAAAGAAGACATTAAGGCAACTAACAAACACATGAAAAAAATGCTTATGACCATTAGATATAATGGTCATTATTAGATATTAGAGATGTGTACATTAGAAAAAGAATGAGAAATCGCATGCCAGTGTTAATAGCAATGTTCAAATAAACGAAAAACAACAAATGCTGGCAAACTTGGGGAAAGCCTGAAACCCTCAAACACTGCTGATGGGAATGTAAAATGGTGCAGTCACTGTGGAAAATGGTTAAGTGCGTCCTCAAAATGTTGGAAATAGAAATACTACAGCAATTTCTCCACATGGTCTATATCCCAGAGAAACAAGAGCTGTAATATAAATAGTAAATTAACACTTATGTATTAGCCCAGGTGGACTAGAGAAACAAATTCATAGACACTCATATGTATATAAGAAAGAACTTTATATAAAAGAATAATTATATATTAAAAAAAATCCCAGCCCAGTCCAGATAAAGTCCTTAAGTCTGATATTAACCCATGCATTCGATGACAGTCTGTAAATTCCTCTTCAGACTCAAGAAGATGTCATTGCATTGATGTCAAATGCAGGAAGGTATCATACCAGTGGGTGGAAAGTCTTGTGGGTCTAGTGATGGTGTAAGCATGTCAGCATGGCATGCGTCTCTATGTGGTTCCTCCAGTTCCAGGGCTCTAGCTCTATGTGTAACTCCATGTGTCTTGTCCTCAGGAATACCAAGCAGAGAGCCTGTATCTTGCTTCCAGTCAGCTATTTATCTCCATAGCACCTCCAAATGAGGTCATCAAGCTGTGACCTGATTGATAGGCTAAACTCCACCCCTTCACTCTTCAATAGTCTCAAGTTGACACCAGATTGTGTAACTACCACAGACCACCCCTTGTCAACTTGACACTCTTCGCACAACTCTTTAGCCATATATAAATCGCAAACAAACAGTAATAAAATCATATCTGTACTAACAGGATAAAATATAAAATCTAAAAACAGGATAAAATTCACTATGTGCCAAAGCCTCATTTAAACATAATATTCTATTAGTGAACAACATAACAATATTCTATGCTTAACAATTGCAGTTAAGTAACACCTATACCTTACTCCTATGAATATATTCCCCCACCTATGAAAGGTTGTAAGCCAGCCACTTCATGCCTTTATCTGTTGCATTTTGGGTATCCAATTTCTATACTGCCCACTTACATCAACCCAGAGCTCTGAGGAGACAATTATATTCTTGGATGTGAAGAATTTCATTCCAATTGGAACCTTGTGAGTCCACATCCATAAGCTAAGTGAAATCATAAAGTCAGTAGCAATATACACCAGTTCTCAGGCCCCAAATTCTTCTCTTCATCTGGTTGGGTTCTGATCAACTCTGTGTGGGCTACCTCACTCAACCTCATTAGGGTGCCCATTGGTTGCCTCACCCTTAGACCATGGGCACTGACATACTTTCTTATGAATTTGTGCTAGGTCATGAACTTAAAACCAATCTGCTCTCATCTTCTCCTTTAGCCTCCGTGAACCACATCCACAGATGTCAGTGGTCAGACTCAACCCATCTCTTTATTGCTGCATTTATTCCACTTTCACTCAACAAGTGGATCAAGGTGGTCAACTAGAAAGCATTTCAACCTGCCTATAGGCTCTCTTTAACGTTCAGTCCTAGAGAGGAGAGTTTCTTTATGACTCCAATTTTTCCCCAGCTACTGGCACAAACTACTGGTTCAAAATAAAAAAAAACCCAAAAAACCAAAGAGTTCTGTTTGCATTTGTTTTTTTCTTTCTTCAACCTCATAGCCTCCTGGGCAAGTCTCTTCACCTTGAATATTCTGAGCACTCCAGACACTGGGTGGGGCTTATCATTTCAGAGCCTTCTTTGCAGATGAGTCATAACCCATTTGAAGATTTCAAATGGTAGTTTACAAACTCTCTACTTATACTTCCCAATAATCATTTCTATCAATTATTATTAACAATAGGCAGAAAAAAACCCAAAATAAACCTAGTAGAGCCAGATCCTAAACTTAATTCTTAAAACAGTCAAGAGCTAAATTTATCTTAATCTTTATCTAAACTATTCCATGGATACCAGGTATGGCTTTAGGCCTCTGAATGAATCAAGCCAGATCCAGGCTTTCTGTCCACCACTTTGACCTTCTGTCAACCATGGTCTTTGAGAAATTCAAGGAGCAATTTCATCCCTTGAGCTTAAAATACACGTTAATCACATTTATTTTTGACATTTCAAACAGGAATAACCAGAGTACAACCAAAGAAATTAATCAAAACATTAACTCCCCATATTCTTTGCAGAAAACAACCCAGAAAACTTCATGGCTATAGCTGATATCTGGCTAGCCAAAGAAGAAAAACTATAATGAGGCAGAGGTCAAACAAGCATCCACTCTCCATCTTTATGATTTGTTTCTATAGTACCGACTCCCAAGGTACTGTAACGTGTTAGTCAAGGTAGACTAGAGAAACAAATCTAGGGAGACTCATATGTGTGTAATAGGAAACTTTATATCAAACAGTAACTATACATTAAGGAAGCATCCCAGCCCAGTCCAGATAAAGTCCATAAGTCTGATATTAGCCTATATGTCTGATACCAGTCTGTAAATTCCTCTTGAGAATCATGAACTCATGCAATGATGACAAATGCATGATCACAGCCAATCGAGTGGAAAGTCTTATTGGTGCAGTGGCAATGTAAGCATGTCAGCATTGACATCGGTCTCCATGTGGCACCTCCAGCTCCAGGACTTGAGTGTAGTTTCATGTGTCTTGTGACCAGGAATACCAAGCAGAAAGCCTGTATCTTGCCTCCAGTCAGCTATTTATCTCCATAGCACCTCCAAATGAGGTCATCAAGCTGCTAGCAGATTGACAGGTTGAACTCCACCCCTTCACTCTTTAATAGTCTCAAGTTGACACCAGATTGTGCAACTATCACAACCCACATTCACTGCTGCATTATTCACAGCAGCAGAAAGGCAGAAACAATCTAAATGCTCATCAGTGGAAGAGAGATAAACAAACAATGGCACATAACCACAATGGAATACTACACAATATTTGTGATAGTTAATTTTATTGTGTGAACTAGGCCAATAGAAATATGTGGGCAGAGTTAAATCAGGTCGCAGCTTGACTGGAGGGCAATAACATAAACGACTTTCCAAGGAGTCCCTTTCTTTCTTCCTCCGTGGTGATTGGACCAGCATGCGATGCTTGAGCTACCTGTGGGCCAAGCCAACCCATGGATCTTGTCACTAGCGCTTGAAGATCTCTCGAGACTTGTTTCACCATGCTGCTGGCTCATACAACCTTTGCGCTTGTTGAGCTTGAGGCTGGTGGATCCCGTCACCATGCTTGAGTTCAAAATCCCATCAGGGCCTGTTTCAGTAAGCTCTGGTGCTCCTGACTATAGCTGACCCACCCTACTGTCTGTTGCCTAAGGGCAGACTCTGCCTGTCTTGCCTGAGAGAAGACTGCTGTCTGCTTCCTTGACCTTGGACCGGCAGCCCTTGTGAGTTGCAGGCAGTATAATAACTATTCTGTAAAAGTGAGTTGAACTGAGCCCTCTGTACTGCTGTGGGGACTAATTAGCTGTTTTATTGGTTCTCGCTGTATACTTATCCATATATATATGTATGTATGTAAATGTATGCATATATGTGTGTATGAATCTATACATATATGTGTGTGTCCTGTTTTTTTTTTCTCAAAAGAACCCTGCCTAACAGTATTAAAGAATAATGATGACTCTATGAAGCTTCTCACAATATGGTTGAAACTGGAAGGCATACTGAATGAATTAATGAATTACAGCAGAACAAATATTTTATTGGACCACTCTTGTAAAAAGTCAAGAAAATATTTCCCATTTAAGAAATATTTTTGAATGGTCACCAGGTGTAAAAGTGGAAAGGAAGGGGATTTACTAGCCAAAGGGCGAGAGACACGTTAATATGGGTAAAGGGAAGCAATATAAATGATTGGCCAAAAAATGATGGAGACAGAGGAAGACACTTGGAGAAGAGCAAAATTGAAAGGCAATAAGGTAAATACTATTACCTATGACCCTGCAATGAAGGTGGTTGATGAGTAGAAGCATGGGTAGATTGCAGGCTGAGCAGAA